CGCTTCAGTTTGCGAGAGTACAGTGCAAAAAAAAAAAAAGAAAAAAGAAAAAAGTAATAATAAAAAAAAAAAGATCGATAACGTATCATCATTATCACGATGATCGAATAAGTTAAGGAATGATACATATCGAAGCACATAGGAGAGTTTTCTTCATCCATTGACATAGTCGTTCGGTTCGTTTATAGATATGTGTAACTTTTGGAAGAAAAAAGAAACGATCGATTATTCGCCCCCGAAAAATTACTACGTGATAAGTATATGTAACTTTAATAAAATATTTCTACATCTTTCAATCGTTCGATCCTTTAAAATTATTTTATCTCAAAAAGAAATTCGTTGAAAAAAGAAAAAAAAAAAAAAAGAATAACCGAACGACTATTCACTTTTCGTGTCTCCGATATTGCTATTTTTAATCTAGCTATCTCGATACGAAAAGATCGTTTTTATCGATAGAATCGAGTACCTCGTTTGCCCTGCGTCTCCTCTCGTATACGAAAATCATTAAGTGATTATATCTTGCGACAAAGTATTTTCAAGGTGTTTTTTCTTCGTACTGTTTCGTAGTACGGCGTTCGGCGACGACGATGCGCCCGGTTGTTGAAGAGGCAATAGTATACGCGGGCGGGGACGTTGACAGGGTGCCGCGCAATTTTATATCAAAGCAAGCAAAGAGGCTATATAATAAAGGGGATATAGGGCGAAATGACACCACTAGACGGACATATCGCTTATCAGTGAATAACAGACATCATAGTTTTAGAAAGCATTTTCAAAGTTTGAAATTTTATCTTCCTAAACCCGTACGTTTTAAGAGACTAACCAATATCGGCTAGGTAGCGTAAATAACTCGTCTAACTCGTAATTTGTAAATTTCCTTGTAAATATTGTTGCGATGTACAAAAAGATAAATACTATTTCCAGGAATCCAACGAAACGATATTAACGTGATTGTAGGGCGAAAATTAATTATACATAGATGTAAATAAATACGTAGATCGTCATAGCTTGACTCGTATGATTACGTTACGCTGGCGATCCAATCTTTTAACGTGCTAATCGACCACCGCGCGATAATATAGTATACATACCGCTGTTTTTTCATCGATATATTTCTACTAATCGGTCAAAACTTATTTCTTCCGACGTACGTACGTTTATAGCGATTCGTGTTCTTCAGAGAGAGAGAGAGAGAGAGAGAGAGA